TGCCCGAAACGAGCCGATGCCTGTTAAATATTCATGGAGTTTAAGTGTTCTCGGTTCTCAACATAAAGTGTTGATTAGAAAGTGCCTGGTGCATTTAGAGAGGGAAGAGTATGTCCTATAGGTGTGTTGTCAAGCCCACTCATTTGTGTTAAGCACACTCAGAATCGCACAGTTTTTTTCCAGAAACATGGTTGATTAGAAAGTCTTTGGTGCAGATTGGAGAGAGTGTCCTACTTCTTCTACGTGTTTTATATGGAAATATTTGATGCTATATATTTGCAGACTAATTTGCATACACACCGTCACATTGTTTTGTGGTATTTATTTGTAACTTCACTATAATAATGCTTTATTCATTGATAATATGTTCCTGTTAATATCATTATTGTGAAAAGGAACAAATGTTATTGTCATCATACTGCCTCCTAGTGTTCATTTCACCCACAAACTGCAGTCAAACCTATGTTGATGTTGTTGTTTTTTCCCCTAAAGTCACCATGTTAGCGAACTGTCCAAAACGAGCTGTCCTTTGTTGATGCCTGTTAAAGATTCATGGGGTTTGAGAGTGTTCTCGATTCTCCACATTAAGTGTTGATTAGAAAGTGCCTGGTGCATATGGAAAGGGGAGAGTGTGTGCTACAGGTGGTTTGTCAAGCCCACTCACTTACGTTAGGCACACTCAGAATCGCACAGTGTTTTCCATAAACATGGTTGATAAGAAAGTGTCTGGTGCATATAGAGAGGGAATAGTGTGCTTATTACAGTCTAACGTATGTTGAAGTAAATTTTTTCGCAAATGTATAGGCTGAAGCACGTATTTTCCAATGAGCCGGTGTTGTTTTTCCATCAAGGTCACCGTGTTGGCGAACTGCCCGAAACGAGCCGATGCCTGTTAAATATTCATGGAGTTTAGGTGTTCTCGGTTCTCAACATTAAGTGTTGATTAGAAAGTGCCTGGTGCATTTAGAGAGGGAAGAGTATGTCCTATAGGTGTGTTGTCAAGCCCACTCATCTGTGTTAAGCACACTCAGAATCGCACAGTTTTTTCCAGAAACATGGTTGATTAGAAAGGCTCTGGTGCAGATTGAAGAGTGTGTCCTACTTCTTCTACGTGTTTTATTTGGAAATATTTGATGCGATATTTCAAGTTTGACTAATTTGCATTTACACCGTTACGTTATTTAGTGGTTATTCATTGATAATATGTTCCTGTAAATATCATTAATGTGAAAAAAGGAACAAACGTTATTGTCGTCATACTGCCCCCTAGTGTTCATTTCACCCACAAACTGCAGTCAAACCTATGTTGATGTTGTTTTTTTTCCCTAAGGTTACCCTTGTTGGCGAACCGTCCAAAACGAGCTGTCCTTTGTTGATGCCTGTTAAAGATTCATGGGGTTTGAGAGTCTTCTCGATTCTCAACATTGAGTGTTGATTAGAAAGTGCCTGGTGCATATGGAGGGGGAAGAGTGTGTCCTACAGGTGGTTTGTCAAGCCCACTCACCTGTGTGGAGCACACTCAAAATCGCACAGTGTTTTCCAGAAACGTGGAGTGTTGATAAGAAAGTGCCTGGTGCATATGGAGAGGGAAGAGTGTGTGCTTTCTTGTACACGTTTTATTCGCAAATTTTTGATGCAATATTTTATTTTTTTCTAGTTTGCATAGACGCTGAAAAGTTGTTTTGTGGTACTTATTTGGAACTGCACAGAAATAACGCTTTATTCGTCAATATTATGTCCCTGTTAATATCCTTAATGTGAAAAGGAACAAACGTTATTGTTGTCTAATTGCCCCCTAGTTAGTTAATGAACTGTCCAAAATGAGTTGTCGTTATTGTCATTATTGTTGAGTTGTCTTTATTGTTTTAAACGAGTTGTTGTTATTGTCGTTATCGTCGAGTTGTCGTTATTGTCCAAAACAAGTTGTCGTTATTGTCGTTATTGTCGAGTTGTGATTGTCCAAAACTAGTTGTCGTTATTGTTGAGTTGTTGTTATTGTTCAAAACTAGTTGTCGTTATTGTCGAGTTTTGATTGTCCAAAACTAGTTGTCGTTATTGTTGAGTTGTTGTTATTGTCCAAAACTAGTTGTCGTTATTGTCGTTATTGTCGAGTTGTGATTGTCCCAAACTAGTTGTCGTTATTGTTGAGTTGTTGTTATTGTTCAAAACTAGTTGTCGTTATTGTCGAGTTGTGATTGTCCAAAACTAGTTGTCGTTATTGTTGAGTTGTTGTTATTGTCCAAAACTAGTTGTCGTTATTGTTCAAAATGAGTTGTCGTTATTGTTGTTATTGTTGAGTTGTGATTGTCCAAAACTAGTTGTTGATATTGTTGAGTTGTCGTTATTGTTCAAAACGAGTTATCGTTATTGTCGTTATTGTCAAGTTGTGATTGTCCAAAACTAGTTGTCGTTATTGTCGTCATACTTCCCCCTAATGTTCATTTCACCTACAAACTGCAGTCAAACGTATGTTGAAATTCCTTTTTCGTAAATATATAGGCTGAAGCACATATTTCCAATGAGCCTGTGTTGTTTTTCCTCAAGGTCACCATGTTAGTGAACTGTCCAAAACGAGTTGTCCTTTATTGAAGCCTGTTAAATATTCATGGAGTTTAATAGTGTTCTCGGGCCGGCCCATATGGAGCGTCTCTGTGTCCCTTTTGTGCCGCGATCTCCTCTGACAGGTGAATTACAGGAACACAGGCACTCAGCACAAACATTGACATTGGCCCAGACGGGGTTTAGTCGCTCGCAGATATCTGACAGTGTTTTACCGACTCTATAAAACACTTCACCTCTCACAGCCGATGATTTCTCTTGCTTCCCTGTGGATTTTTATGTGCATCTCTGAGTGTCTTTCCAGAAAAAATAGAGAGACTGTGAGGAGGTTTGATCATTTGTCGTCTCGTCTGATGACTTTAGAGAAACAGTGAGCGCCTGCTGGGTGTGAATGGAGAAATCAGCACACAAATCATCTCTCAAACTAATGTCTTCTCTATTTAGAGCTGGAGATGCTGGATGCCAGTCGGGTTTCAGCTTGTTTTTTTTGTCGTCTGGTTTACTGATTTATTTTTGTGGGAATTGAAGGCAGTTTGATTGCAGATTTTTAGGAAGGATTGAGTAAATCTGTATTTCCCCTTCAGTGTTTGGACAGTGAATAATAAACCACACTGAACTGAGCTAAACTGAACTGAACTTAAACTCTGAAAACTGGACTGACACTGTTTCAATTTACTATGATCTTCTATGTGAAGCTGCTTTGACACAATCTACATTGTAAAAGAGCTATACAAATAAAGGTTATTTAAATACAGGAAAAATAAAGGAATTTAATTGTGGCAAGCTCTTATTCCGGTTGCAGATTGGATAAGGATAATAGAGTATATATGGTTGAAGTCATAATTATTAGCCCCCCTGAATTATTAGCCCTGTTTAATAAAATTTCTTTTATTTTGACCGAAATAAAGCAAATAAGACTTTCTCCAGAAGAAAAAACATTATCAGACAGACATATTGTAAACATTTCCTTGCTCTGTTAAACATCATTTGGGAAACATTTAAAAAAGAAAAACAAATTCAAAGGGGGTGCTAATAATTCTGACTTTAACTTTATGTGAATAATAATTTCATTTATTCATTCATTTTCTTGTCGGCTTTGTCCCTTTTGAATATTATTTATTTAATATTAATTAATTAATATTAACATTTTATTTCTAAGGTTAAGTTGCTTGTAAATTTATCCTTTGATTTAATTTATCAATATATATATATATATATATATATATATTTTTTTTTTTTTTTTTTTTTTTTTTTTTTTTACATTTATAATACATAACCTCATTGGATTAAGTTGCTTATATATAAATATTTTTTCTCAATAATATATGATTAATATAGAAATATTAGGTAAATTTTAAATATTAACATTATTTTTAAATCTTAGGCAAAAATTTTATTTAATTATTATTTTAAAAATATATTTCATATTATTATTATATTTATCTTTTTTTCAGATCGGATAAGGATAATGGAGTATATCTATGTATATTGATTTACACGTTATTTTCAATACATTACCTTATTAGATTAAGAGAAGTTGCTTTTATATATATTTGTTTTTTCTAATAATTCATTATTAATTTAGAAATAATAAGTTTAATAGATACAACCATTTAATTTAATTTAATAAATTATTTTTTTAAATATATTTTTCATTATTATTTATTGTCTTATTTTTTCCAGATCGAATAAGAATAATAGAGTTTATGTATAAATATTGATTTTTTTAAAACATTTTAATTTTGTGCCATTATAAATGATGGTAGATGGTAGATGAAATAAGTTGCTTGTATTTTTCTTTTATTTATCCCTTGATTTGATTTATCATTAATTTATTCATCTTTTATTTAATTTAGACATTTCCAATACATGTTTTTATTGGAAGTTGCTTTTATCTATAATTTTGTAATATTTTATTATTATTATTTTTTTAAATAATAAATGAAAATTTTAAGTATATTAGATTAAAAAATAATTTAACTGTTTTTAATATATATTTTTCATTTTTATTTTTTATGTATCTATTTTTTTTCATCATTTTAGTTAAGTTGCTAGTAATTTTTTTTATTATTTTTTACTTTAATTTAATTATTATATATATAAATATATATATATATATATATATATATATATATATATATATATATATATATATATATATATATATATATATTTTTTTTTTTTTTTTTTTTTTTTTTTTTAAATAAGAGACTGAATCTAGCACACTGAACATTGCTGGGCACCATGACCCTTTTTTGCGCCATTTTTCACTTTCACCCAAAACACAAAATTGTAATTTTTGACAATTTTATGGACAAAACTTCGGTCCATCCCTACTAGCAGAGTGATACGTACCAACACTGATCTCTCTCTCTCTCTCTCTCTCTCTCTCTCTCTCTCTCTCTCTCTCTCTCTCTCTCTCTCTCTCTCTCTTTCTCTGTGTGTCCTCCGCAGGTCTTAAGACGTACCTGATATCGGGGCGGAAGGTGAAGTTGTGTCAGTGGATGAGTCCTCCTCCTCCGTCTGAGATCAGAGCGTCTGTCAGCTCCTCGTCCTTCAGTCCAGACGTCTCCGCATCGGCCGGCGCTCCCACAGACGCACCGGACAGAGCCAAGGTCAGCTTCACACACACAACAACATCTACAACACTACATCCTGCACATACCACATGTGCTTTTTTCTGGAATGGTTTAATCAACAATATTAGCATGCGATGTTTTAGTCCATAGTTTTTTTTTTTTTTTTAATGCCACAGTGTCTGTAATAGCTCTGGCACTGCTGCTGGTTTTCTTTTTATTTATTTATTTATTTTGAAATGGCAAACACCAAATAAATAATAACATCCTCAGGAATTAATAACTACAATCCAAAGTAAAATACGATAGCAAAGTTTGCTTAAGGACCTTAAATGGTGTAATAGATCGAATGTAAATAAATAAATAAATTATTCCAATCTGTTGGATCCTAAAGCTCTTTTACCCATAGATTTTTTACAACGAAGAACAAATAAATAAGTCTGAACAGAATGTCTAGCTTGATAATTTGAGGAAAAAAATACAAAATATTGTTGTAAATAATAAGGATAGTCAAAATGAATACATTTAAATGTAATTTGAAGCCAATGAACATGTCGTCTTGTGTTGGCCACTGCAACAGATCATACATTAAACAATGATGTGTGTAAAAAGAACAACCCGGAACAAATCTGCAAAGTCTATTATATGGTGTATTAAGGGGAGCAAGATCTAATTTTAACGCACTCTGATAAACAAAATCACAATAATCAAAAATTAACAAAATAAGTTAAGTTTCTTGCTCTTCTCTAATGTAAATATCTATGGTTCTGCCCAAGTGCCAAGGGTTCTTTGGTACAACATTGTACCATTTTTTCTGAGAGTGTAGTGCAGGGGTCAGCAACCCGCGGCTCTAGAGCTGCATGCGGCTCTTTAGCGCTGCCCTTGTGGCTCCCTGGAGCTTTTTCAAAGATGTTTGAAAATACAAAAAGATGGGGGAGGTTAATATATTTTTTTGTTTTAATATGATTTCTATAGGAGGACAAACATTTTTAACGTTTTCAAATGCTGTCAAAGTGTGTAGAGTTAATATTTAATTTCAACATTTCTGTCAACGAAGATTTGCGTCATAGCCTGCGACACACGTTTCTATCAGCAGGGTGGGATGCCAGGCAGGTGGCTGTTGTAAACAAACCAGGAGATAATAAAGCATGGAAAACTGTTCAAAGATGGTAGGACATATTAGAACACCTATTTGCAAACTTTAAAAACAAAACCAAGATAATACAAAAAAAATAAAGATATACCTTTCTCCACTAAGACAGTGAAGGAAAGGGCTATTAAAATGGTAGGTAACATCACCGATCAGCAAACCAAGGACATTAATTCAGTGCCAGCATACTCAATTGCCTGTGATGTGACCGATATTCAACGCGTTTTTTTGCAGGTATGTGAACTCTGATGGGCCGCAAGAAGAAATTATCAAATTAATAACACTAAAAGTCAAGAGGCTGTGCTGAAGTGTTTTAATGACAACGAAATAAACACCAACCACCTGATTTCAGTGGCTATTTAATCATGAAGGCTCATTATGTATTTGTAGCCAATTTAGTCATTTTTATAGTAGGCTAATATAGCTAATATAGATACATACAGCATGTGTTTCCTTCATTATAAAGCTTATTTAAGGCTTTAAATCTTTTGTGGCTCCAGACATATTTGTTTTTTGTTTTTTTGGTCCAATATGGCTCTTTCAACATTTTGGGTTGCCGACCCCTGGTGTAGTGGTTCAGCTCTGGTAGTTTCAGTGTTAAATGAGACATCAGGTAAATATAATATGACTTAAATTTTTATTTCAAATGATAGTATTAAAGGAGAAAACAGTGGGCGTGGCTTGTTTTTTCTACTGCGTGCTGATTGGATGTGGTAAAGTAGGCATTTCATTCAAAAAGATCAGGGAAAGGGTTTAAGGAGAGTCATTACAACCTAACAGACTCCTCCTCCTCCTCACTGTTTCTGTTTGTTGTCAAAACTGACAGTTGAAGGGGCGTGGTTAGGTATGTTAGCCACGCCCAATTCCTCAGACAGATGTAATCTGAGAATTCAACTGGAAGATTTCAGTTAAAAATTACAAGAGCAAGCTTTTTTTCTTCTCCTAATGACCTGCACAGATGGATTGTTCACCACAAATCTAGCAACGTGAGCTAACAAAATCCGTATGCTAGTTTTGATTTCAGGTGTACTCTAAGTGTCCTGCTGGGTTTGTACAGTATTTCATGTTAACACTCTGTCTGTGTGTGCTTCTGCTTCCCTCAAGTGTTTCCCCATACAGCGTTTCTCCATTTACTGATGAGTGTGTGTGTCGCGCTGGTGCGTTGTGTGAAACGCCGCAGTGATTAGCGAAAGAGCGTAATGTTCATCCTCCTCTTCTTCTCTCCACTGCGATCGATCAGCGTTTCATCCAAGCCACCTTTCAGAGGATGCCACATTACCCAGCAGCCTTTGCAAGAGATACTCTCATCATGGGTGCACTTTAAATACTGATGGGACCCCGGGTTTTGCGACGGATAGCGGGGGGAAATCCGATAAGAAGTGCGAGTGGAGTCTGTCTCGGCCTTTCGCGATTGTTCATCTCTGAGGCCTGAGTTTAATCCTCTGCATATTCAGACGGCAGATGCCACACATTTCAGAGCTGCTTGCAAATCTGTCACCGCTTCTGCTGTTGTTCAGATATTAGCAGGGAGATTTGCCGGAAGTGGAACGTTCCGTTGAGGTTTTCCAACGTTCAAACGTCTTGTTTTAATGTTTATAATGTTTAAAATGGCTGACAATAATACATATTCTTAATAATAGTAATTAATCTGCCTTATTTTTGAGCTGTCCAGTGCTGTAGCTGCTGAATTAGGCCTACTATGTTACTGTGTTTCAATACTGGTCATTATGGTGGTACTTGGAGAGACGTTTTTTCCTGAGGTGGTACTTTGTGAAAAAAGTTTGAGAATCACTGATTTAATATGGTTAAAGTGGCTGACAGTAATAAATATTCTTAATAATAGGAATTAATCTAATTTATAGTAAGTACTCGTATAAATTACTGCATTATATAGTGTAATTTATTAACGAAGAGTTGTGAATATATATATATATATATATATATATATATATATATATATATATATATATATATACATATGCATGATGCTTATGTCAAAATATTTCTCTATTATAAATGACTATAGTATTTTAAATGTGTAACACCTGCTTTTATTGGATTTTTTGTTTTAGCTGGTATATACTATAATGTGTTTCTGTTTATACAGCCTATTATTTACAGTAAATTATTGAACTGAACTATTCTGCCTCATGTTTCATTGACAGTTTTATTAATCACTAAAATATTATTGACTTGGATTTAATTTGCTTCGATTTAAAAATAAAAATTGCAAAAATAGCTCAGATGTTGCTAAACTACTTTTGCCAAATAGCTTTTTGCTTAGCTTGCTACATTACCCAGGGGGTAGTTTTTAGTGTAGTTAAGCTACATTTTAAGTAGAGTAGCTAATAGCTTAGCTCACTATATTTTTCAAGTAGCTTGCCCAACACTGCGTTTCACACACACATACACACATACACACACACACACACACACACACACACACACACACACACACACACACACACACACACACACACAAATTACATGTAAACCCATCAACCTTTCCCAGTGTAATACTCACTACTCACTACTCTTGAGTACTTTTGAAAGGTCTACTTTTTACTCATACTTTGAGTAAAATTTACAACAGATACTTTTACTGTACTCGCACTTCATTTTTAGGCAAGTAATGGTACTTTTACTTAAGTATTTTCAGTTCTCTTTCAATCACTGCCTGTTTAGTAAGAACATGAAAACCGGATGTAGGCCCACTGGATGCAAAACTGTATCTAAATGTTCAATAAACTGCTCCACTTCAAACAACTATATTTTTCCATGCTTTATTGTTTAGCACATAGCAACTGCCTGCTGTAGCAATGCTAACCAATACATTAGCTAAGTGCTAAAAACACTCTAAAACACACTAGCATTGTCAACAAAGTCTAGAATGATGGATCTTTCCTTGTAAAGTCTAAATTCTATCTGCTGTTTTTAATTGTATTTAACAGTAAGTGAGGTGTTTGGCTCTGTGTGTAATCCTTCTTCACGTTCTCCTATTTGTCTCTATCAGTCCGCCTGTCCCTCATGTAGCCTGATAACATCTGAAGACGGACTTGTTCACAGCAACAGCTGCACAGATCCTGAACACAAAACCAGCAACAGCAAGGTGAGTGTTTTAGACAGGAGCTCAGTGAGCAAATTTAGAACACGTCATAGTTTTATTCCCACCTGAACAACTTACAAATACATGAGATCTTTTTGTAAATGATGTAGCATTGTTTAGGAGAGTGTTTCCCCACCATGTTCCTAGAGGTTACGATCCAATTTCAGATTATGATAGATTAGGTGAAGTGATGCTTTGTTGGAAGGCTGGCAAACAGCGCCACCTGTTTGTTCTAACATTCAACGGCAGTTTTGCAGGAAGTTATTTTATTTGTAAGTAGTTTTGGACATTACTAATTGTAAATGTTCTAAATGTTTTTCATTCAGTCATTTTCTTAAACCAGCCTAGGCTGGTTTAAGCTGTTTTTTTCAGTAGGGTCACCACAGTGGAATGAACTGCGAACTTATCCAGCATATGTTTTAAACAGCGAATGCTCTTCCAGCTGCAAACCGTCATGGGGAAACACCCATACACTCTCATTCACAAACATACACTACGGACAATTCTCTTGTATCACATGTGCTTGGGCTGTGAGGGAAACCGAAGCACCCAGAAGAAACCCATGCCAACACTGGGAAAACATGCTAACTCCACACAGAAATGCTAACTAGGCCAGCCGAGGCTCGAACTAGTGACCCTCTTGCTTTGAGGCGACAGCACTACCTACTGCACCACTGCAACACCCCACTAAATGTTATTTTACCTTATGATACTTTTCATTGTAAAAGGCAAAACACTTCAAGCTGAAATGGGTAACAAAATAACCGTATGGTGATGTAAATATTACCATAATTCCCCAGATGATCGATTTCATCGGCATGAATTCTAAATTTATTCTTCTTTTTAATTTTTTTTTGGAAGTGCTTGCATATGGTAGTGCTTGTAATATATGTGTCTGTGCACTTCATTGTTTTGTAAAAGTTAATTTGCCCTCACAATCTTTTATTTAAAAATCATAACCTTCCCTACCCTTCGAAAAGACTTTATTCACTTCTGGTCACATGGAATGCCTTTAGGGCGGAGTTATCAGTTCTTTGAGGTGTGGCTGTAAGTCCTTTAATGTGGGTCATTAATGGCGGGGCAATACAATCTTTAGGGTGGGGCTATTAGTCATTTAGGGCAGGGCAATCAGTCATTTGCGATGAGGCTATCAGTTTTTTAGGGTGGGCCTATTAGTCATTTAGGGCGGGTCTGTGATTTATTTAGGGGTGGCCTATTAGTCATTTAGGGCAAGGCTATCAATCCTTCAGGGTGAAGCTATCAGTTCTTTAGGTTAAGTCGATTAGTCATTAAGCGCAGGGCTGTCAGTTTTTTAGGGCTGAGCTATCAGTTTTTTAGGGTGGGGCTATTAGTCATTTAGGGTAGGGCAATCAGCCATTTACGATGGGGTTATCTGTTCTTTAGGGTGGGGCTATTAGTCATTTAAGGTGGGGCTATTAGTTATTTAGGGTGGGGCTATTAGTAATTTAGGGCAGAGCTATGAGTTATTTAGGGTGGGGCTATTAGTCATGTAGGGCAGGGCAATCAGCCATTTACGATGGGGTTATCAGTTCTTTAGGGTGGGGCTATCAGTCATTTGGGATGGGGCTATCAGTTCTTTAGGATGGGGCTATCAGTCATTTGGGATGGGGCTATCAGTTCTTTAGGGTGGGGCTATCAGTCATTTGGGATGGGGCTATCAGTTCTTTAGGATGGGGCTATTAGTCATTTAGAGCAGGGCTATCAATCCATTAGGGTGGAGCTATCAGTACTTTAGGGTGGGTCTATTAGTCATTAAGGGCGGGGCTGTCAGTTATTTAGGACTGAGCTATCAGTTCTTTAGGATGAGGGTATTAATCCTTTAGGGTGGAGCTATCAGTCCTTTTGGGCAGGTCTGTTACTTACTAAGGGCGGGGCTATCAGTTCTTTAGGGTGGAGCTATCAGTTCTTCAGGGCAGGTCTATTACTCATTAAGGGCGGGGCTATCAGTTCTTTAGGGTGGAGCTATCAGTTCTTCAGGGCAGGTCTATTACTCATTAAGGGCGGGGCTATCAGTTCTTTAGGGTGGGGCTATTAATCATTTGGGGCAGGGCTATCAGTCATTTAGGGCAGGGCTATCTGTGGCTATTAGTCATTTAGTGCGGGGCTGTCTGTGGTTATTAGTCATTTAGTGCGGGGCTGTCTGTGGTTATTAGTCATTTAGTGCGGGGCTGTCTGTGGTTATTAGTCATTTAGTGCGGGGCTGTCTGTGGTTATTAGTCATTTAGGGCAGGGCTATCTGGCTTTAAGGGTGGGGCTATTATTCATTTAAAGCTGGGCTATCAGGGGTTTTTTCAGTATTTAAACCGTTTTGAACCCTCAGATTTCATATTTTCAAATAGTTTGTATTGTATTTTCAAAAATCTGAACCAAATATTATACAATCCTAACAAAGTATACATCAATGAAAAGCAAATTCAAAATTCAAAAGCTTTCAGATAATACATAAATCTCAATTTCCAAAAGGTAGTTTTATGGTCCACGGTTGCATTATGTGCATAAACTAACAGCATTTTAACACTCTGTGTCCTCCATCTGAATTGTCTTCAGGTGCCGGCAGGCAGGGGTCCTAAAAGTGTGAATGGGCTGTTGAGTCCTGGTGTGGAGCAGCCGCTGACGCACAGCCAGACGTCTCTGTGTGAGATGCTGCAGGACAAGGAGAAGAAGTGGCCCGCCGTCGGAGGAGGAACCATGGACCACTCTGCCCTCATCCCTCTGCGCTCCAAGAACTTCCGCGAGAGGAGCGACGCGCACTTCGTGGACGTGATAAAAGAGGACAGGTAGGAGTCCGCGGCCCGCTGGGACATGAATGTCAGACAAGATGGAGCGGTATTGTTTAACGGCGGCCGGCGGAGGTCATGCTGTGCCCGCAGGGACTCTGCATGCTGTTTGATGTAGTGTGCGAGTGAGTGTGTGTGTGTGTGAGTGATGCACTGTGGGCCATTTCTCATGTCTTTCTCTCTAAACGCTGTCAAAGAGTGGCATCTGGTGTTTTAGGGCTCAGTAACTGTTCGTAATCTGTTTAACTGCGCCGCTGTGGACGTTTTGTTTCTGTAGTTGTAAATAAAAGAAGTTTTTGAAGTGCGCTCTGCAGTTAAAAGATTGCTCAGAGTCAGACCCTATTTTTATGCAAGTGTGTATATAAGCCCTTTTCTTTGCCTTAAGTTTTCATGCAAACTGTATGCAATTACAATAACAATTCAGTCATTTTCCTGTGGCTTCGTCTCTGAATTATTATGAGTTGCCACAGCAGAATGAACCGCCAACTACTCTGGAATATGTTTTACGCAAAAAAAAAAAATATATATATATTTTGTATATATTTGTATATATATATATATATATATATATATATATATATATATATATATATATATATATATATATATATATATATATATATATATATATATATATATATATATATATATATATATATATATATATATTTATTTTATTATTTTTTTTTTTTATATGCATATAAAACCCAGCCTGGGCTCGAACCAGCAATAGTTTTGTAAAATATTATTACATTATTTTCTATTGTCAATACTGTGTATTTTAGAAAATGTAATGTAAAGTTATTTCAGGAAATCATTCAGAACTACAGAAACCATTCAGAGATGAGGATTAGATGATCTGGAAACATTTATTATTATTGTTTGCTTTTTTGTTTGTTTTAATCAATTTTTATTATTATTTTTTTTCAAATGTTTGAAAGTTTTTTAAATCACAGGAATAAATTACATTTTAACATAATATTTGCACCGGAAACAGTTATACTAAATGGTGATAATAGAATAACGATATTGATTATATTATATTATGCAAACCCTACAGTAATGTGAATGTGAGGGAAAATGTGTCTTTTTGTCAAAAGAATGTCACACTGCAAATAAAACTATCATTTCTTTAAGCTAATTTATTTATTAAAACCATTTTAAAGTTAAAGTCTTGCCATTGTGCACTGATACAGTATTTAATATAATATATGTAATATAAAACAACAATTATATAATTTCTTGAATCTAATAATCCTCTGATCTTTAAAATAATTTACAGTGTGGCTCGACAACATTTAAACCAAGTATTTTCTTTTCTTCATCACAGTCAATTCCATGCAAAACTTGTGTGATCAATAAATCAACGGACTGAATTCCTCCCGCAGTCTAACGCTGTTTTCTGTGCTTTTGGCGTTGCAGTCTGATGAAAGATTACTTCTACAGACCTCCCATCAACAAGCTGAGCCACACGTTCATAGACAGATCCCTGGAGTCGGCTTACAGGACCAGCTACCAGGACGAGGTACAGCACCATTCTCCTCACATCTATTTATCTGTCGCTTTTCATTTGTTCTCACAGTCTGTCACCACGGCTTGAGTCTCAGGACAAGTCTGTGAATTTTTGCTAAGTAGAAAAACCGCATTAGGAGTGAGCAGTGTGTTACTCTGTCTGTACTGCCATCTGGTGGCCTTTCTTCCGAAATGCAGTTAAAGATGCAGTATTGTGCGGTGAAATCAAAATGGACTATATTATTATGGGTGTTTTAGAATTTCGTTTAATGTGTAAACATAGTATTAAAAAACTCCCATTAAAGCTCTTTAAATTTTACCAACAAATGCTCACGACATGGAGGCTTATTTATTAGCACCACTTTGGAATAATGCCAATATCTTGTACAATAGACTTAATAGCCTAATTACCCTAACCTGCCTAGTTAACCTAATTAATCTACTGTCATCATGGCAAAGATAAAATAAATCAGTTATTAGAGATAAGTTATTAAAACTATTTTGTTATAAAATGTGCTGAAAAAAAATCTGCTCTCCGTTAAACAAAAATTGGGGAAAAATAAACAGGGGGGCTAATAATTCAGGGGGGCTAATGATAATATATATATATATATATATATATATATATATATATATATATATATATATATATATATATATATATATATTAGTGCTGTCAATCGATTAAAAAATAAACTAATTAATCGCACCTTTTTAAAAAAAATAATTGCGATTAATCACATTTAAAATACTGAAACTTGTAATTTTGGCTATTTAAATGTAAAATTATTGTAAATGCAAGACAAAAACTATTTAAATTCAAAATATAATTGTTTAATAGAATTTTTGTTTAACTTGTAACACAGATTTCTTCATGTAAACAACATACCCACAATAAACCATCAAGATCCTGGCTTGACAGCCATATTTATTACAGAAATTAAAACACAGGCATGTTAATGACATTTAAATTTCAAAACAATCAATGCCATTCAAGAAAACATTGATTTCCATGTTGGATTCTAAGTGGACTGCAAAAAAATGCCAAAATACAGGAATTGCAGATATGGAAAATGAAAAATTATAATAATAAACTATAGAATACAAACTGTTGCACTCATTGTAAAGTTTTATTGCTGTGAGTTGAGAACATTAGTTATAGAGTAGAAACTATTTTGCTTAATCCTCCTTTACATTCATCCAGTTGCTAAGACTAGGAGTATCCCGCAAGTGCACAGAGACTCCCAAATGCCCACAAATGAATGATAATTTCTTGCAAACCGGTCGTTAAATACATTGCACACCCCTCTCGCCCCTACTCAGATACGTCGCTCACTCCACCCCTGACAAAGACAGACACACACAAAGCGCTGCAGACGTTTTGGCCCCAACGGCCTTCCATACTGGAGCGACTCCCCTCAGATTCAACACGCATGATCACGTTCATCAAATTTGCTTAAACTAAGCGTCCTAAAGTATTACTGTATTTCACAAGGATTCTGACACAACAACGAGAAGCATACGTTTTTTTTGCGTTTAATGAGGAAACACGCTAAACTTAATTAATGCCCTGTCTTTGACAGCTCGCGACTTCACCAGAGATTTTCTGAGTACATTTACATAAGACACCAATACTCTGATTTTAATATGATTAAGATTATACTCTTATTAAAATTCTACCGTGTAGCCTTAAAAGGAACCTTACCTTAAAGGAACACCGAGTCACGAAATGCGGAGGATTTTCTTTCTGTTCGCCATGCGGTATCAACTTACAACAGAAGTCGAAAGTTAAAAATGAAACACCTGAAATTGCATGAAACTTTGGAGAGCCTGGTGATGTGACTAATTACTGAAACTTGCCTTCAAAAAGTGCTTCCTTGGTCTTATCCACATTTATTGCATGTTGAACAAACGTCCCTCACAACAGGAAGTAAAAAAAACCTGCAACTGCGTTAATTGCGGTAATTTTTTTTAACGTGTTAATTATTTAAAATTAATCGCATGCGTTAACGCGTTAATTTTGACAGCGCTAATATATATATATATATATATATATATATATATATATATATATATATATGTGTATATATATATATATGTGTATATATATATGTGTATATGTATACATGTGTATATGTATATGTATGTATGTATGTATGTATGTATATATATATATAATATGTAGTGAGGGACCTCGCCTTCATTATTGAAGTGGGCCCACGCAGTTTGCGCTACCCCACTGTTGAGTGTGTGTGTGAATGTATGGGTGTTTCCCAGTACTGTGTTGCAGCTGGAAAGGGCATCCGCTATGTAAAATATATGCCGGAATAATTGTCAGTTCATTCCACTGTGACAATCTCAGAAATAAAGACTAAGCCAAAAACCCTTTAAAAAGAATGAATGAATAATGTGTATTAAAAAAATTATGAGTTTTTAAAACAACATCTTGTACCCTTCTGAATGATCTCTTCTCCGATTGGTATTTACTGCAATGAGGGCGGGATCGACCTGTCAATCATGTAAGATCCACCAATAGAAAGCCTGAACCACCAAAATCAATTTCCCCAATAAGTCCAGCTGTGCATGTCAGAAATGAGATATTAAAACTATTATGGTTAGAAATGTGTTGAAACTAATCTTATTTCTCGTAAACAGAAATTGGGGGAAAAATATACAGGAGGGCTACTAATTCTGACTTCAACTCTATATAAAGATGCATTTATTCCTGTATCATCTGGTTCTAGTTGGCTGTTTTTCGAATCAGTTTTCTATTTTTCAAATCAGATTTCTCAGTTAATTTGATGAATAATCTGATCTCTTTCTCTCTGTCCGCTGTCAGGTCAAGACTCAAACTCCTGTGCAGACGTTTGCCAGCCCGACGTTCAGCTCTTTCCTGGACATGCTGCTGTGCTGTTGCGTGTTTCTGGCTCTTTCTCTGGCCTGTTTCCTGCGACCGCTGGTTACCCATCAGCCCCTGCCCACACCAGCGCTCATAGTGGCCGCGGTGGCAGCGCTGCTCGAGTGTTTGGCTCTAATACTCGCTATACGGTCAGTGGCTAGAATATGAGCATTGACTACGCCTTCTTCCTACACCCCATGATGCATTGCGGGAATTATGAGCGGATTAACTGTGAACAATCAGCAATTCCGTTGTATTATTAGCACTTCGACGGCATGATGGCTCAGTGGTTAGCACTGTCGCCTCACAACAAGAAGGTCACTGGTTTAAGTCTCAGCAGGGCCAGTTGGTATTTCTGTGTGGAGTTTGCATGTTCTCCTCGTGTTGGCGTAGGTTTCCTTCAGGTGCTCCGGTTTCCCCCACAGTCCAAAGACATGCTCTATAGGTGAATTGGATGACCTATCTTGGCTGTAGTGTATGAGTGTGTATGGGTGTTTCCCAAAAATGGGTTACAGCTGGAAGGGCATCTGCTGTGCAAAACATACTATATGGTGGATAAATTGGCGGTTCATTCCACTGTGGCGTCCCCTAATGAGGGACTAAGCCGAAGGAAAGCGAATGAATGAAAATGGGGTGTGCTCATTTATGTTGAGCACTGTATTTCCTGTTTGAGCCCGGGTTGGGATATAGTGTTGCTGCACAGCTCTGATTCAGATGTGTATTCCTCTGTGTGTTTTACAGGAGAGCGTTTTATCTGGACAGTGTGCTGAACTGCACCAGGACGCTCCTCTGGGTCATTTCCGGCTGGATTCCCCGGCACATGATCGGGGCAGTGCTGGTGTCTTTACCAGCCATCGCCGTCTTTTCACACATCACCTGCAATATGCACGACTCCATACAGGTGAAGACAAGAGCAACCCAGCGGGCACCTTCATGTCACAATGACATCAAAAAACATGTCAAAGTTGATTTGATGTCAAAAACGTGGAGAGGGGTCTGGATGCAGACCTGGTGCAGTGCAATCTGAGCTGCATCCAATGCTTTTTAATGCGCTCACCTAACCCCACCCCTAACCCTACCCGTCACAGTGACGTCACTCACTCCATTGAGTGCATTGTGTCTGACATTGCATCGCTGAGTGATGCAATCTCAGCTTGGATCATGAAGGCTGCATCCAGATACTGTTGAAAACGTGACGTCTATTTTACGTCTGCACATTGATGCACTTTTGACCACCAAAATAAAGACACAAAAAGTATTATAATATAAAAAGTTTTATTAATCAAGCTTGAAATATAAATGACAAGTGTACACTGAAGTTTGTTTCCTTACCATGCATTTAAACTACCCTGATATCAAAATGACATCAAATTGACATCTGATAAAGCATCAAAATCAAGTAAAGGACTGTCCTATAATCAATTCTTTACATGTTTGTTTTGACACCAGTGCTAGATGTCAATTTGATGCTGCCATTTTGACATCAAGGTGTAGCTATATACAAGGTATATTCCACTGGGAAACACAATGTATAGACATTTGAATGCAAATTATATATTTTCTATGTAATAAAAATCTAATTATATTTGTTGTTTAGTATTACTCTAAAAAGCACTGTAGCAATGTAGTGAAAATGTATAATACATCATATTGGGATATTAAGGCATCATATTAATGCGCCATATTGTGTTTTGGGCAACACTTTATTTTGAAGGTCTATTTGAGTATTAGTCTCCTTCAACAGGCATTTAACTGACTGTAAAAAAGTTTGCATGTCAACTTATACTAATCCCAACCCCAACCGAACAGTCTACTTATAATCTAATGAGAATTAGTGGGCATGTAGATGCAGTTTAACTTGTATTCAACAAACGGACGACCATCAAAATAAAATGTGACCGAGATTTTTCATATTTAAAACTGAATTTATTAACTTCTGGATTTAAATAATAATAATAATAATAATAATAATAATAATAATAATAATAATGATGATGATGATGATGATGATGATGATGATGATGATGATGATGATAATAATAATTATTATTATTATTATTATTATTATTATTATTTTCCATTTGTGAAGACTGGAGTGGTGATGCAAAAATATTATTTTGAGTGTATTTAATATTAAAAATTATATGATGCTAAAAAATGAGCTTTTGTCACTTGAATAAATCTAAAAAGATATATATTAAAAAGTTCTAAATTCGTGATGCTAAAAATGTAGCTTTTTAATTACATGAATTAATAAAAATATAGAAAATAAAATAATTTATGAAAATACATTAAAAAATACATTAAATATTACAAATTATACGATGCTAAAAATGTAGCTTTTGTCGCTTGAATATATATATATATATATATATATATATATATATATATATATATATATACACACATATAATAATAATATATATATATATATATATATATACATATAATAATAATAATAATAATTATTATTATTATTATTATTATTATTATTATTATTATTATTATTATTACTATTATTTTCCAATTGTGAAGACTGGAGTGGTGATGCAAAAATATTATTTTGAGTGTATTTAATATTAAAAATTATATGATGCTAAAAAATGAGCTTTTGTCATTTGAATAAATCTAAAAAGATATATATTAAAAAGTTCTAAATTCGTGATGCTAAAAATGTAGCTTTTTATTACACGAATTAATAAAAATATAGAAAATATATATGTATATATATATATACATATATATGTATATATATATACATATATATATATATATATATATATATATATATATATATATATATATATATATATATATATATATATATAAACAATTTATTATGCTAAAAATTGCTCTTTGTCACATGAATAAATAAATAAAATCTATTAAAAATATAATATGGTAAAGTAGAAATTTAGAGACATTTCACAATAATACTGCATTGAAAAAAATATTACCTTAAAACTTATAATATGCTTAAATAGAAAGGATATTTCACAATATTGCTATATTTTTTATTAAATAATTACAGCATTGTTGAGCAGAAGTAAAATATAAAACTACAAATATAAACTGCATAATATAAACTACAAATATGAAAACTGCTAAATCCAAAACATACAGTAAATATATATATATATATATATATATATCCTTTAGTGGATAAAGCCCATGATATTAAGAATCCTGTGTGTTTTTAAATCAAAATCCCTGTTTCTTGCATGCTTGCTTAAAAAATACTGTGAAATGAGCACAAGAAACCATTTGATTTGCAGCAAATCATTTGACATTAGAACATTAGTGTCAAAACACCTACAGCAAAGTGTCTGGCTCACACAGTAAATGTGCATGCTGGCATAAAACTGTGCACTTAAGTATGTACCCTACTGTACAGGTCTGTTATGCAACACTATATAGACGTGTCTGGTGGCCACTGGGTACCACAGATGCAGTAATTGAGGCACTTGTATGCTGCTCTCAGTCAGAGAAGTACTGTTAGAGTCAGAATTATTTGCCCTCATGTGATTTAAAAAAAAACTCAAACATTTCCCAAAGGATGTTCAGTGGTGGTTCTGGACCAGAGAAACTGGGGGGATAATCTTTCATGTTAATTTATTTGACAAGAAACTTTTTATTGTAGGATAACACATTTTTAACATTCAAATACATCACATTTTTGCACCTGTAAACTGCAACAGATACAGTTGAAGTCATTTCTTTTTTGCCCTCCCGTTAATTTAAAATAATGTTTTCCATGTGATCTTTGACAAACCAAGGAGATTTTCACAGTATTTTCTGCTTTATCTGAATATGTTTCTTATGTCTGTGATTCAAGAATTTGCTGAGATTCAAGGGTGTTTGTTGACCACCAATCGGTCGTAAAAGCACACGTCTGGTCCGAGCTTTTCCGTCAGTCTATAGCAATCGAGTGGCTACTCTACTAGTAGGCGGAGCTTCATTCGCCATATTGACCGTTACACTTTTCCCCATTCAGAACTATGCGAGTGACATGTCTTTTGTATTTAATAGTTTGGTACAGCGCACCCAGTGAGTGACTTTGATAAGCAATTTTTGACACCCGCGTCGCTAAATGCAGAGGTTTTTTTCTTTCTGCTCAGTGTGCGGTATCAAGTACTATTAAAACAACATTCTCCCACCAATCCTTACTTCATCCTTGTATCCAATACCTCAGTTTGCCACAGGGCACCAACGATACTGTATGTTTTTTTAAATAAAGGTAAAACTGTTGAACTGCAGTTAAGGTCGAAAAATTAAAAATGAAACACCCAAAATGACATGTTCTCTGATTTTGATGACAGCCTTTCAACAGGTTAGTAGTAGGCTAATGTGATGTTTATTGCACAATGCAAATCTTAAATTCATGCTAACAAACAAGTGATCAAAACAAATATATTAATGCAATTTAATTCAAATATATAAACTATGAATTGATGTATATTTAAACATTAATTAAACTGCACAATTAAAATTATTACAATATTTTTTTTTGTCAAATAAAATTTTTCTATAGTCATCATCATAGTTTTGTGGATCAAAAGTATCGATTCAGGCACCGTTTTGTTACCGGTACCGTTTTAAAAGTGTCAGTTTAGCACTGGGAAATAAACCCCCAAACGATACCCCAACCCTAGTTATACAATGACCTGCCTAGTTACCCTAATTAACCTAGTTAAGCCTTTAAATGTCACTTTAAGCCAGGGGTGGCCAACCCTGTTCCTGGAGATCTACCCTTCTGCAGATTTCAGTTGCAACCCATATGAAACACACCTGCCTTTAATTATCACCTGGTATTCAGGTCCTAATTAATTGGCTCAGGTGTGTTTGATATGGGTTGCAACTAAAATCTGCAGGAAGGTGGCTCTCCAGGAACAGGGTTGGCCACCTCTACTTTAAGCTGTATAGAAGTGTCTTGAAAAATATCTAGTCAAATATTATTTACTGTCATCATGACAAAGATAAAATAAATCAGCTATTAAAACTGTTATGTTCAGAAATGTTAAAACATTCTCTCTGAAATTGGGAAATAAATATACAGGGGGGCTAATAATTCTGACTTCAACTGTACATATTTCTGTAAACTGCATGTACTGCACTGCGAGCATGTTTAATTCCTGTCCAATTCTCTCCCCGCAGTTCACCATGTTCACCTGCTGTGCCGTCATCATCGCCATCATCCAGTACTGCAATTTCTGTCAGCTCAGTTTCTGGATGCGCTCAAGCCTGGCCACGCTGGCGGGACTCACCTTTCTAAGTGTGCTCTGGAGCCCTCCGTGCAGGTTCACACCAATCACACACCAATATTATACACCTGACTATCCCACACAGGGGCGGAATTTGTGGGGCGGGGGATTGGGTGGAGGTAACCCACCATTACGCACCCTTTTCACACGAATGTTATAACGCGTTTAACGATCATCAGCATCCTAAATCCTTAAACGTTTAATATATATATACATTTTTAAACGTATGAATATTTATATGTATTATTGTATGTATTGTATCATCTTTGCATTAAATTACCACTTATGGGAGGCGTTTCTAATGCAGTTTATAGGGCAGTACAGTAAATTTCTCTCTTCTTGTTGCCGTCTCGCACTATTTTTTATTTTTATTCTGGGAGTCTTGATAACACTATCGAGGAGTTTTTCTTTTATTATTTCAGCAAATAAGATTGTAAAAAATATGATTAGTTGTAATCTCGCAGTCATTGAGCTCTAAGTTTACCAGCTATAATGACGTCCGCTACAGAGAAGAAACCCGGAAATGTAAAAAGGGTCTATTCAACACTGCAAAAAAATAAAAGAAATCCATATTACTCTTCCTGCTAATAACAACCCAGGCTCATTCTGAAAACATAGTCCCATGGACGTTTATGAAGACCAAGAAATACGTCCCGGGACGTACGCATTTGTGCAGTTTTTGTTTTTGCAACTCAGCGAGAGGCCATTGTGTGCGCTTTTTCGCTTCTTGAACGTCTTCCGCAAACGCCATTCATGCCCACGCTGTTCTCGCGTAAACCCAGCGGAGGCCGCTGTCGAGTGACCATCTGTCTGACTGACTGACTGAATGATTGACTGGGCGACCGGCCAATCTGGCCAACCCACCCTCCTCCTCCTTACCTAAACCCAACTAATTTTACAGACTGACCCGGCGCCCGTTTGCTTTCCTAAACCCAAGCAACGATTTACAAAAGCCGTCTAAAAAAATAAAAGCCCTTGTCTGGTTTTTACCACGTTTTTGGATTTTACCACATTCTCACCCTGTTATGAACCTGATTACTTTATTTTTTGGATTCTGTTTTTGACTTACCTGATTTCTAGAACCGCTCTTCTCCAGACTCGAACCCGGTCATCGCCGTCGTCGTGGTCAGCTCCACTCTGCGTCCCAACTTCGCCGACTTACACGACGAGCTAACTGAACAAACTGGTTGTGGCGGTAAAGCCCTCCACACGGAGGTAAGCGGCCAGTGAGCATGAAAAGGAACGGCGTCACACCACTCTGTAGCGTTCGCTTAAAAAATGAAATGAAATTGCAGTCCCCAGAAACGTCCGCGGGACTACGTTTTCAGAATGAGCCTGGGTTGGCTAATAAGCAAGTACCCTGTAAAATGTGAGCAACTGGATCAACTTAAAGGGGTAGTTCCCCCAAAATTGGAAATTTCCTGTTTTCATTTACTAATTAATTCAAACAATTCTTAGCGCTTGTGCGAATGTAGTCCAAATGTAGTCCTGTTGCTTTGATGACAAAACACTTCATGGCATGAGCTTGGTCAGGTAATGCTGTTTGCTAGATATGTAGTGCAAGTAGAGTAAAAGTATACTAGTAAGTACTAAAGTACTAAACTATTACTTAAAAGTTTGAGTTTCATTCATTCAATCATTTATTAATTTTCCTGTCGGTTTGGTGCCTTTATTTATTTGGGGTCACCACAGCGGAATGAACCGCCAGCTTATCCAGCAAGTGTTTTTTAAGCAGCGGGTGCCATTCCAGCTGCAACCCATTTCTGAGAAACATCCACACACACATTCACACACACACTCATACACTACGGACAATTTAGCCTACCCAATTCACCTGTACCGCATGTCTTTGGACTGTGGGGGAAACCGGAGCACATGAAGGAAACCCATGTGAATGCAAAGAAAACATGCAAACTCCACACAGAAACGCCAACTGAGCCGAGGCTCGAACCAGCAACCCAGCAGCCTTCTTGCTGTGAAGCGACAGCACTACCTACTGCGCCACTGCTTCGCCTTTATAAGTTTCTATATTTTGAAATTGCTTAGTTTTAGTTTAGTTTTCATTAGTTTCAGTATTAGTTTTAGTTTTTTCTAAATAAGGATATTTGTTAGGTGCAAGATTCAAAATCGACAGAATAAATATTGTATAATAAATACATTTTTTGAAACCTGTATTTAGAGGGCACATGAACACTATCATCTACCACTACCATACCTATCCTCAACTTCAAATACAACAGCCCACAAGATAGCAGCCTTAAGTACAATATGTGTGCAAGGCTGCTCTGAGATTAGATGCACAGTAGTGATGGGAAGTTCAGATATTTAATGCGGATGTTAGGACTCAACATACCAAAATTATGTAGACAGCAGTTATAATTTTAATCAGTTAAAACATCACCATGATCTGAAAAATGTCTTACTGTAAAGTTTTGCAACTGATTCATGATTCACTTATTTAATTTACATTACGATTTTCTGTTATGAAATATACTTCATTCATTTCCTTGTCGGCTTAGTCCCTTTATTAATCCGGGGTTGCCACAGCGGAATGAACCGCCAACTTATCCAGCAAGTGTTTAAGCAGCGGATGCCCTTCCAGCCACAACCCATCTCAGGGAAATGAAGTATACTTACGTTTTTTTAACTAGATCAGAGGTGGCCAACCCGGTTCCTAATATTGTAAATAATGTTCAATTTCTTACACTGCCCTATCGTTTCGCTTCACAAGATCTCAGTCATCAGGAGCCATGCTGGACTCATTTGTATGTGTTTATGATTAATCTAAAAAACCTGTCACCATTTACTGCCATTATATGAATCACAGCAGATTCAACTCAAAAACTTCTTTAATGTTCTACTGAGGGAAAAAAACATGTTGGATCACCTATGGGTGATTCAATTAATGGGGAATTTTCATTTTTAGGTGAACTGTTTCTTTAAAAAAAAGTTACACATAAAATAATTAAATCAAAATCTTTAATCTAAATATCTAACTTTCCTGTTAATTTACCCTCAGGTCATCTAAGATGTAGTTGACTTTTTCATCTTCCTTCAGAACATTAAAGAAGATTTTTAGCTTAATCTGTAGTCCTTTAATGATTCATATACAGTAATAGCAATCATATAGTTTAAGAGTTTGAGATTCATGCAAACGAGTTCAAATCAATACCATTGCTGCTGATAAAACACTAGCTTTGTTTCCACCCACATACTTGTAGGCGCATTTTAGATTATCGCATAAAAGTCACGCTCAATGGAAATGTCAAGATGCGCATACATTTTGAAGATGAACATGAAAACGTATGCTCACAGTCAAGTGGGATAAACATTTCATCTGAAAAGAAACAATGTGCACAAACTATTATGGAAACATATTTGCCGAATAAGTTCCAGCATGCGCATCGGAAAAGTCATTTTATATTGTTGTAACAGTTCATGTAATGAGTGCGATGGACAGCCTTAATGGACAAACCAGTGGACTGACCATATTGTAAAGAATCGGAAATGTTGTTTTGGTCATTAAAATCTTTAAAGTACGTCCTCACTGTGGTATTATTACCTCCAAAACTTGAGCATCTTCCAAAGAAGAGCCTCCAAAAGCCATTGTGTATCATCTTCATCTTCTAAGGCGCAAGTAATTTATTATAGAAGAAAAAACCTCACAGTAACTACTGCAGATTCCATTTCTCCTTTTGATGTTCGGCCCCAGTTTATCAGGAATCATGAATTTGTTCCCTTTGACTCGCTGTATAGAAAAGCTGTTTCATTCGCAAATCTTTTATTTAATGTTCCAGTTTTGCACATAAGCTTATTCCGCATCTTTGGATGGAAACATAGCTACTGAGGCCTTATGAAGCAAAACATTGAGCCTGTGCAAAAAATTGAAAATTTTTTACAATATTATTAGCTTTAATCCACAGCCTGGGTGAACAGTGTGGGCCTCTGGTCAAATTATGATGTATTTAAAACATTTATTTGAAGCAGTTACTTTTCTTAATATTATGGGTCCTATCATACACCCGGCGCAATTTGGAGCAAGGCGCGACGCAATTGTTGTTTGCTAGTTTCAGCTTGGCGCAAGAGTCGTTTTGACATTTTGCGCCAAGCTGTTTAAATGGCAAATGCATTTGCGCTTATATGAGCGCCCATAAGCGTTCTGGTCTAAAAAAGAAGGCGTATTCAAGGGCATTGCTGCTGCGTTGCTATTTTGAGGAACTTAAATAGAAGGTTCAAATAGATCAGATCAAAGCTGGTCTATTGTCCAGCGCAGAGCGCGTTAGTTGTGCGCCTGGCTTACACCGCTTAATACAGACAGGGTGTACAGCAATACGCAAATATCCTTACAAATGAAAAATAGTTAAAATATTAAGGATATATATATATATATATATATATATATATATATATATATATATATATATATATATATATATATATATATATATATATATATGGATATATATGATATAAATATAAGGGATTAAAATATAAAAAAATATATTATTTTCTAGCCTACATAAATATAAAACCCAAACTTTCATGCCTTCTTCATCTCGGGGGGCTTTTTTAATTTATTCATAACAATTTGCTTTTGTGTAATGTTGTTATTATTATTAGCAGTATTATTTATTTTATGCATATTTATATTTGTTTTATTAAAAACAAGCTTAAATTTGTCCACCTGTCAGGTTTTAGACCATATGGGGCACAGCATGTGTATTTCAATATAACTCGTTGTTTGAACACACTTTGTTATTATTGTTCATTTATTCGTTTGCTGGAAATTAGAACTGAATTTAGAAATAGTTTTGAAACAAATCTTTGCGCTTAACAAACGAAATTAATTATTTATAGGCTAATTGATGTCTGTGCGTACAAGGTTTCCCTATCCAAGAGCGAAAGTGAAAGTAGATAATGAGAAGGCCTTATCTCTCATTCTCGCACTGTAGATGCTCTGTTTAACTGTTTTCTTGCTAGTGAAGCGTTCAGTTTTTCCACTTACAAAGTCCGTCGTGTAAATAGCAAATGCGATATGGCGCAACGCAACTGACTCTTAATGGGAGGTAATGGGAGATGAGACTGATTGGTTTATTCTCAAAACACACCTATAACTCATTAAGAAAATAAACTCAACCCTTTTAGAATGTGTGCCGCGGCGCAAAGCGGATTTTTCCGTGCTTAAATTAGCAAAAGTGGATTCCGACACGCTCTAATTGCTTTTGCGCTCTGCGCTTGGATCGTCAAAATAGAGCCCTATAAATGCCTTCACAGTCACTTCTGATATATTTAACTGACTAAAAGTGTTAATAAATAATTATTATACTAACATTTCAATCTTATGTTTCTTTTAGCACTTGGGAACAATTATTTTTGAGGCAAGTCTACAATTTCACACACTACTTTCCATTTTCCATCAGAAGCTTTTACGATTTTGTTTAAAGTCTAAAACTTACTTTTTTTTTTTAATCCACCAGATCCAATGATCTCAACAGCAGCATCAGTGACATCCAATCATCTGCAGAAGAACCATCCCGTCTACAGGATCTGCTCGGCCCTGAGGCTTTGGTGGCCTTTTTTCTGTTGCTTCTTCTTGTTTGGTTCCTTAATCGGGAGTTCGAGGTGAGCTACCGACTCCACTATCATGGTAATGTGGAAGCAGATCAGCACCGCATCAAGATCCAAAACATGCGCGACCAGGCGGACTGGCTCCTGCGCAACATCATCCCCATCCACGTAGCCGAGCAGCTGAAAGTGACTCAAAGCTACTCCAAAAACCACGACAACGTTGGTGTCATCTTCGCCAGCATCGTCAACTTCAGCGAATTCTACGAAGAAAGCTACGAAGGCGGGAAGGAGTGCTATCGTGTGCTCAATGAACTCATCGGAGACTTCGACGAACTTCTGCGCAAGTCCGACTTTTCCAACATCGAGAAGATCAAGACAATCGGCGCCACCTACATGGCGGCATCCGGGCTCAATACACAACAATGCAGCGACCAAAACCACCCGCACGCCCACTTACGAGCACTCTTCGAATTCTCCCTGGAAATGATGCGAGTGGTCGACGACTTCAATAAAAACATGTTGGGCTTCAAGTTCAAGTTACGAATTGGTTTTAACCATGGACCGCTCACCGCCGGAGTCATCGGCACTACTAAACTACTCTATGATATCTGGGGCGACACGGTGAACATCGCTAGTCGGATGGACACTACAGGTGTTGAGTGTCGCGTTCAGGTTAGCGAAGAGAGCTATTGCGTGCTTAGCGGAATGGACTATGAGTTTGATTACCGCGGTACGGTCAATGTGAAAGGCAAAGGTCAGATGAAGACCTATCTTTACCCAAAGAGTGCAGATAGTGGACCTGTGCCTCAATACCAACTCTCAGTCTCTCCAGAAATTCGAGCGCAGGTTGATGGCAGCATCGGACGTTCGCCAACTGATGAAATCGCTAATATGGTCCCAACAACCAGTGCCAGTAGAGTAGGTGCGTCTTTCTCTGTGAGTTCAGGACTTACTGGACAGGGCTACGCTGGTAGAGACTTCCCTGAGAAGGTTGCTGTAAGCAATGGTACATCTAAGACTCAACGATCTGCATCCGCTGTTGGCCTGACTTGCATACCAGAAACCAACCTGAGCGCAAGTACCACGAGTTTTGATAAACCAGCAGACCCAACTTTGACCTCTCCAATATGGGTGGAAAACACCATTGGAAGAAAGCAGGGAGAAATCGCGTACATGGGTGAAATGACAAAACTTTGACTGGAAAACAAGCCAACGGTGTTGGTCGTAACCCTTTAAACATGGGCCTGCAACCCTCTGAGTTTCTAGAGATAGGCATGTTCATGCTAGAGTAGATTAGCATCCGTGTACGTGGAGTGGAGAATTCAAGCACACAACCGTAAAGTGTTTTTACTTTTTGCTGAAGCAGGAGATGCTTCCACAACTGGTGGTGTTGACGGCGTAAACCTCAGAGGAGCCGCATTAACCATTTCGACATGGTTAGATGCTTTGGGACAGAACTTAAGAAGTCCCATCCTTAAGTAGAATGAACCAACATGACAAAAATACTATAGTAATTTATAGTAAATACTTTAGTGTCTTTGAACCATGCTTGAATTAATCTGTTGTGGTAATTCAATAGGTGCTATGGAAACACAACAACTATAGTAATATCAACAAAACCTGCAGTATTCTACCACTATAGGGTATATTATGCTACAAGACTCCACAGTTTACTGTAAAAACTGATGCATACTACAGTATTTATTACAGTTCACTACAGTTAATACCACTGTAGCATTCATTGAAGAGCCCCTATTATGCATTTAAAAGGGTCATATTTTGGTTTTGGGGTCTCCAGAAACAGACTGACATGCATGCTAGGTCAAAAAACACTTTCATTGTCTTATAATATGCACTTATTTTTACCTGATTATTCCAACGACTCCCATTTGATTCATTCAGTGATTCATTTGTTCCCAAACCCCTTGTTAGCACGATGCTAATCTGCACTTGAGCATTGGCATTGAGCCAAATTGGCTCAATGACACAGTCTTTAGCAATTGGTCCACTGTGTTCAGCGTGAGACAGAGAGAAACGCCCACCACAGCTTATCAACATTGTCGAAGTAGTCAGAGTGCATGTGTGAGCCCAATGTAGGAGTGCATTAAAGCAATGCAGTTAAACACCAGCATATTGCTGTATTCTTAACCACGACACACATTCAGTATTAATCCACACAGTGGCAAAAGCTGAACTATTCTGAACCTTGACTGCTGCACGTTGGCCATAGCAAAGACAAACGGCAGAGGATTGAGAGCTCACAAACACATTTAAATCCATAAAGAAAGCACCCCTTGCCACGTTTTCAACGTGGCTTTAGATGCAATATGAGAATATATAGAGTTAATCAGATACAGTACAACCCATGTGGAGTAATTACAACTAACACAACACAATTAAATGCATAATTTGCAAACAAGAGAAAACAAAGAGGCAGCCATTTACACTTACACTTGTGAAATGGAGGAAGAAACTGATCCGTGAACTGTGTACTGTAAAGTCCCTGTCAAGCTCTGACAAAGTCCCATACATCAATAGTTTTTTCCAACCCAGGCTCATTCTGAAAATGTACCTCTACAGACATTTTGGAGACCGCGAAATACATCGCAGCGGCATGTTTTTCTGCAGTTTTTGTTTTAGCGAATCCACGAGAGGCTGCTGTGTACGCTTTATAAGATCTCAAAATTTCCCTCAATTGTGCCATTCTCGTCTGCTGTTCTCGCGTAAACCCACCAGAGGCCTCTGTTGACTGACTTTTTAACTGACTGACGAACCGATCGACAGACCCAAACTCCCCCTTCCCACCCTCACCCTTCCCTAAACCCAACCAATGTTATTGATTGACCTGCCCAACCACTTTCCTAAACTCAATCAACACATTTCAAAACCAATCCAAAAAAAAAGCCCTCGTCTGATTTTCACCACGTTTTCAGATTTTACCACATTCTCACCCTGCTATTTATTTGTTTATTTTATTTTTTGGATTCTGTTTTTGTCTTACCTGCTTTCTGGATCCGTTCTTCACCGGACTCAAACCCCGTCATCATGGTCAATTCCTCTCTGCATCTCAAGTCCGCCGACGTACATAGTGAGCTAACGGGACAAACTGGTTACAGCCGGAAGGCTGTCCATATGGAGGTTAGCGGTCAGCTGGTAAGCGCGAAAAGGAATGGCGTCCTACCGCCCTATATCGTTCGTTTTAAAATGAAATGCAACCATACACACCTCTGGCTACATAGTTTGCGGTCTCCAGAAACGTCTGTAGGGTTACGTTTTCAGAATGAGCCTATGTTGGTTTTTTCTGAACATCCTTTAACAAACAGCTGACAAATCCCTTGTTGCAAGGTAGATTTTTGCATTAATCTCCAGAACAAACACTCATTAATATTTACTCATCTTCCATCATGATCAGTCCCACACACACCCGCACTCTGCAAGCGTTTGAAGGGAAAGGCACGTTCACGTTTTACCAGATCCAACACTTTATATTTGGTATTGTTTCATGTCAACGTCAATACGAACAGGCAAATCAAATCAAATCAGTCAAATCTTGTGTTAAAAAATCTATATTTTTAAACAAGTTGCACTTTCTGATTTAAGCATCAGCTGGATGTTTTCATTCACTTAGAGCTGTGTTGCACACTCCATGGAAGGTCACCTATAATAGGGGCTCTTTAACAAACCATTAACAACCACTACTAGCTTAATAAACTACTAATTAGCTGTTTATTAATAGTTAATTAGGTAAAAGTTGGGTGTTTAGCGTAGAATTAGGGATGCAGAATAACTTCATACTTTATAACTACTAATGAAAAGTTAATAACTTAATAATAGACAAATATTTGTGACCTTAACTAAAGTGTTACCAAAATTGTAAATACCTACAATAAATAGAGTATAATAAACTTTACTAGCATAGCTCAAAAACACTGAAGTATTTACTATAAAGCGCTGTAGTATTTTTAAATGTGGGCAGTCATTCCCATTTCTGTTCATTTTTAGCCACTCTAGCTCTGCCTTTGCTGAAATATGTTTATCTTTTGATGAAGTGCCTTCAGGATGACAACATTACGTACAAGGCATTTTTAAAAAGAAGGATTTCTCAATCAAATCTTTACTAGCTACCGATCTAAAAGAGTTAGCATGTACATTTGGTGTTAGAAAACGCTTTTGTGGAAGTCTTTGATATCTTTGGGAATATTTGTAGAGTTTGAGCTCTCCGTGTTGAATGTTCATCGAGCCTATTTTAGAAAGCAGAACTATATATGGCGATGACTGCAAGACCGTCGCAGTGAATGGTGCATGGCCAAACGTGTCTGTAAAGAAGTATTAGCGAATCGTAGAGCAAGCTATGGCCTAAATCCACCTCCATTCAAAAATATCAAACATACAGGAGATGATTCCTCTCGCTTTAACTTGCTGCATGTATTACCGTCTGATTATGGCCTTTCTGTCCACTTGGTGACTTCTGCTTCATTCTGCAGGTTGGCTGACCAACACCTGAGGTTCAGAAGAGAAATAACAAGTTTTATAAGATTTCGGCAAGTTTGCCTTAATACTGAAGAGATCCTAGTCTTAAAACGACACACTCATAGGCTTAAAGGGGGAAAATGCATTCATAGTAATCATGAGTTCACATTGTAAAAGCAAAAACTACTAATTTTAATGCCACCAAGTATGAGAAACAGTGTTAACCAATTGCCAAATAAGACTGTTTTAGGCAGTATTTAGTGCAGCAATTCAATACCGGTAAACGTTTAGGTGATAAAAGTTAGAATGTTAGCATCTGCTTTTTTTTTTTTTTCTCAAAAGTGGGTTAAATGTTCCAGATTCAGATCTGTCTACAACATTCAACCAGTTCCTGATGGATAAAGTTAAACCTTTATTATGTAATTTCATTAAATACTGTTATTGTTTCCTTTATTTTAGTTCATGCACTGCCATTCGGAGAAACAAAAGTAATAGCTAAAGCTATAAAGCTAATAATCTTTACCTATATTTAAAGGATAGTTCACCAAAAAGGAAAAATCGGTCATCATTTACTCACCTTTTTCTTGTTTCAGAACTGTTTGACTTTTTATTTCTGTATGTTATTTAAGAAAGTTGTAAACTGGTAACCCATGAGTTCTGTATGTATACTTATTCCTACGGATCCCAGCAGACACCTTGATGTCAAAACAACATCAAAAAAACATGAAAAAACAACAACAAACTTGTCAAAAATTATGAGATGTCTTAACAAGATGTGTATTTGTGTGTTTAAATCTGGTATTACAACTGCGAAACGTCTATTGGATGTCTCATTTCCGATGTTAAATAGACTTGTCTGTCTTTAAGATGTTTATGATTGAGAATGTTTGCTAAATATACCTATAATAACATTTACCAGGGTAGGGTTGCAACAGTTGATAAGTTCTTTCTTAAACTGGAACGTAAAGTCCACACTAGAAGCTTAGTAACTACTAGCTAGTTTGTAACTAAATTTGTTACATGCTCTTAAGGCAAACCGTTAGGTCGGAAGCTCTCCGTAAAGTCATGCGTAGTCGTATTGAATGACGTAATATCCAATAAAAAGCATTTAGATCAGGGGTGGCCAGCCCTGTTCCTGGAGAGCCACCTTCCTGCAGATTTCAGTTGCTACCCATATCAAACACACCTAAACCAATGTGATAATTACAGGCAGGTGTGTTTGATATGGGTTGCAACTGAAATCTGCAGGAAGGTGGCTCTCCAGGAACAGGGTTGGCCATCCCTGATTTAGATTAATAGTACAGTATATATTTATAGTACAGTACATTACAGTAAGTCACTAATAACAGACGACGCACACACCTGCTTTGCGAGTTGTAAATGTACATGAAATACACACGAAGTTCTCAAAACATTTAACTTGAATTTTTTATATCCTACGCATGAAAGAGAAAAGAACAGGTAGAAAAACTCAGAAATGAAAAATTTCTGGTTTTAATTAATGGATACAATAAACACAAAACACTCTGTGAATATAATGAAACTCTTCTTTCACAACCCAAATAAAATAATTAAGTAATAAGTAATAATAAATAAGTAAAAAATTAAGCAAGTTTTCTCTTAAGACAAGAAATAATGAGTAAGAAATAAGCAAGTTTTCCATTAAAATGAAAAATAATGAGTCAAAATTAATCGAGTTTTGCCTTAAAACGAGAAATAATGAGCCAAAATTAAGCAAGTTTTCGATTAAAACAAGAAATTAGTCAAAATTAAGCAAGTTTTCCCTTAAAACAAGAAAAAAGGAGTCAAAATTAAGTGAGTTTTGCCTTAAAACGAGAAATAATAAGTCAAAATTAAGTATAATAAAACTC